GGCAGAAGGGGGTGTGTGTGTGTGTGTGTGTGTGTGTGTGTGTGTCTGTTTAAGACAGAAACTCTTACCCTCCACACCTGCTGCCGTCATAAACATTTTGTAGGTTGTGTGAAGAAGCTGTCTTCCCTTCAGGTTGTCTAGAGGGAGAAAAAGGAAAAGAAAACAAGAATGAGGTGACAGAGGTGTGTGTGTGTGTGTGTGTGTGTGTGTGTGTGTGTGTGTGTGTGTGTGTGTGTGTGTTACAGAGCAGAGATAAAAAGGATGGAGATATACTAACAGATGGTGAAGAAGAGCAAGAGCGGTACAGAGAGTAGGAGATGGAAGAAAACACCAGAACAAGGGAAGAGCCAGATGAACGGGGAAAGTGGTCATTAATATGCATCCATCTTGTGATGGCCATTTCCAGATGAGACCAGATATGTCTCCTCTGTTCTGATTACCTAATCTGAGAGAAAATATTCCTAATGCATATTTAAGGAGGCTACTTTACTACCMAAACCATTCAGCAAACAGTGGCCAGCGAGGTAATGCAAGGTTGTTTCTGCCATGTCCATGCACAGATTTCACTGAACGAGTGCTGGTTTAAAAATAATTTCACCCCAASTTAAAACCTTTCTGCAAWCTTAAATGTCTCATARCATTTTAAACCTATTGATATGGTCTTATTAAGTACAGAAAGCCCTAAAGCAGAGCTATTCACTTCGAGGACCATAGTTACAGAAAGTCAAAACCTCAGCACCCCCGGTCAGGGGTGTTGTTGTGTTTCCTGGGATAATGGCGGGGCGTTGCCCAATAATGGTAGGGGAAACACTGAATTATGTAGAGGAAAAAATATTCTCTAATATTTTTTAAATGTTTCTAATTATAATTCACTTACATCTGATTCTACCTTCTCTACACAATCAATCATTTTTACATGAAAACCAAGCCCTATTTTTACCATCTTCTCCTGCTTTTATATAAAGTGTGCTCAATCGTGACGAACATTTAGCTCCAAGAGAAAGCTAAATCATGCTTCACCTGAAAAAACACAAGAACTTATTCCTGTCCCATCAGAAAAATGCGCCGATTTTWTCACAGAGCTCAGAAAGTCCATTAAATGACTGCTGTGAGCTTTAAAAGTCTGAATAGATTGTATTGAAGGGAAGAAAAAGAGAGACTAAGTAGAAAATGTGGTACTTACAGGCAAAGTAGCAGGAGAGGAGGAACACCAAAAAGAAGATAACCAGGAAYGTGATGTCTGTCTCCAGGATTCCTGTGAATAAGTTACAAGGAGTAGTAGAAAAGGTACATCAAGATGAGAGCTAAAAAACATGGTAATGAGAGAAATTGATTAGTTCAGGAACAGAGAGATGTAGTTACAGTACAAGCAGAGTGTGAGTGATAGAAGTGGCCATTGAAGACATTGGAATAATTCATTTAGAAGATACATGAGCATCTTCTTCTTTTCATCCCTCCTTCCCAGTTCATCCATCATCATTAATTCATTCAGCCGTTCGTTCATTATTGCAATTTGTTCAGTGCAGTGGRCTTTATTGGCCGTGCTAAGTGGTGTTGGCTTGTGCCATTGACGATTCATTTTATAATCCCTCTCATTCTCTCTATTCRCTCTTACCAAACTCATCTGCAGAGAAATGCTGTGTCCAGAAAGACTGACCATTGGTCAGTTTCATCTCRTACTCCAGCTGCAAACCATCACCCTGCAAAAAAAAGAAAGGCAAAAGATGGAGCAGTGGCTTTGATTAAAAATATATTCTCCTGCATTGTTAAAGGCTTCGTGATCTGTGCAAAATATGATTAATGCCTCTTGCTGCAGTGGACAATTCTGCAAGTTCAACTGGCAGCAAAAGGTAATGACTTATAGATTTATATCTAAACACTCTCAGGACAATTCACTTTTCACTAGAATACTGAAAACTGATATTTATTGGGCCTATTAGGAGAGAAAAATATGATCTGGAGTTAAAAGCCACACAGAGTTTACAGTTAAATTCTAGGGACTTGAGTGTGCATGAATCAGACAGCTAAAGTATCTAAATTAAAAAGGACTGGACTTGAAGCAGTGTTTCACCAATAAAATTAAACAGCTTTTTCATTTTCACCCATCAGCCACAAGATTAAAACCACYGACAGGAAAGAATACCACTCAATAAACCATGGCATAATGAATAACTACACAGATAAATCATAATGCTAAAACAAAATGGTGAAAAAAAAAAAAGAGTACAGTAGGTTTCAGTCTTTCCCTGTGAAACCACAGCATACTCATAAAGGGAATGGACTGGACATTCCCAAGAATGCTTGATTAAACTGAAGTCTAGAGTCTGGAGGTCCTTTGTCCCATATTTTGGATCCTGGTGTTCATGCGATTGTTGCTTTTTAACACTTGGTTGTCCATGCATCTGACAATGCTTTCATTCAGAAAAAGCAAAAAAATAAAAAAAAAATTAAAAAAAAAGGCAAAAAAACCCCCCCAGAACAACAAAAAAACAGTGCTCAAGAACCCTTAAGAAAAGAAAACAAAGAACAAAGATAATGTCTTGGCTTTCAAATGTGGTGCTAATGTCTTGGTGCCAAACACCAGAGGACACAAAAGGTTTTATAGTGGCCGATAGCATCAAGTCTCGAGTATCGATTGGAACAAGGACTAACGTTTCAATTCCCCCAGAACTATTTCAAGTTTTAAATTTCGATTCCTAGTTTTGATACCCAGTCTGCCCACTGTAACAAGAAGCCACCAAAAACCAATGAAGAAAAACCACAGGTGAGATGCCCGAACACCAACACAGATTCCGCAGGTGAGCCGCTTAAGTGTGAGCAAATGGACACTGTGCACCGATGATCTAAAGTATGCTTTTACTTTAATAAAATAATAAGAATTTATYGAGCATAGAAGGGCACATGACCAACATGAATAAACACTTCTCAGAGTTGTCTTTGACTCGCTGTGCAAGCCTTTGCTAACACCTCTAGRTAAATCCATCTAATACCAACAATGAGGCAGCTAACAAGTTATACTAGACCTTAAAACTGTAACATCAGCTCAGTAACATGTTTAAGTACCTGCAGCATCAGACACTGGATGTGTGTCAATGTGTTTTAATGAGGTAAAGCAATCTTGTTAAAGTGTATACACTGCATGTGTAATTGTGTTATTCCACTGGAAGATTATTTCACACAATTCAAGTCTGATTCTTCTCTTTTTTAAAAGAAGAAAAAGAAAGAGAGAAAAAAATGAAATGTAATGAGAAAGAGTAAAAGAGAGATTAGAAGATATGTGAAATATATATTAAGAAAACACAAGACAGCACACCGACTTCTTGGCTCCACACCTCCAAGCCGATGAACCTATGAGCCGATGAAGTCTGATTCTTCTCTAACTACACAAAATAATYTGACAATACAGTAAGAAAATTGCACTTTTAGACATGAAACAAGGAAAATTTCCAGGCTAACAAGATTAATAACCTAAAACATTCTACACTTGCTTAGTGTACCAGCCTCTAAACAAGGTCAAAAATGCCTTTTGGCTGGATATAACATTGTAAGATTTGGTTAGATGGACMATTTTTGCAGCTACCTCATTTAAACCATGTTAGTTTTCTTGACCCTGCTTTGAAAAAGAATTGGAATCATTGGGAACCAGGTTAAAAACAAGGAACCAGAATTGTTCAAACTCAAACTATGCCCTACTGTACTGATAGGCCTAAATATTCCTATAWTTTCTTCAATTCTTCTAAAATGTGCCCTAACAAAACTTGTGCCATTTTTAAATTACTGGTAGCAGTCTCAATTTGTCCCTTATTCCAAAATCATCACATCAGCCTSATGTGTCTTCTACATGCACAAGACATCCAATTTATCAGTAAACTGAACAGTCATAATGAARAAAATAAATCTTGAGCTGCTCACATGCTGCAGAAAATTCTCCCTCGTGTCTGTTCTTCACACAAAATTGCCATGAAGAATTCATTTCTAGCTTCTGGCTCCAGTGGATGCTCCTCTTTCTTGTTGTCATTTACTTTGATGAGATGGGTATAATAGCTAAAATCCCAGGACATCACACTTTAAAAAAAGCAAAACAACAATTTCTTATAACATCTCTTTTATTGCCCCATATACATATCTTATAACATCTCCTAATACATGAAGGCAAAAACCATCCATGTTACTTGGGAAGGAACTGGCTGCAGATTTATCTGTGGAGTGTAATTGTGTTACAAAGCGAGTCTCCCAGCTGATCTGAAGCACCTCTATATCTCCCAATTGAGAGGAAGAAGTTTGTGGAATGATAAAAAGCTCATTGAGATACTAACGTGAATATGACCCACATTAGAAAGAGTGGATCAGATTCAGTTTTCTTCTTAATGTGGTTAGAAAGCTTTGTGTTTTTCATTTTTCATAATGTAAAATCCATTATTTKTTAGGTTGTCAGTTTGAGATATTCTTCTTTGTTATGTTAAGAAGRAATAGAAGATTTGATAAATATGCAAGAACAAGAAAATAAAGTAACCCGGTTCTCAAAGTAAACTGCTTCTGGAATGTTATTTTGGCAGTAGCACAAACAAATGCATCAAACTAAAGTGAACTTGGGAGGTGAGGGGGGAAAAAAGAGGGATGGGGAGCAGTGAGCAAGAGAAAGGGCACAGAGATGGGTTGACAATCAGAGCAAAGGGAGCTCATTTCACACACGCAAGTTCAAAGCTGATGGAGTTTGCGCTTGTTGCAGTGGAGCGAGGGAACAGAAAAAGGGAAGGGGGGGACGACGACTTTGATTTCATTTGGCAGACTGAGACTCCATTTTACTCCCTCTATCAAAAAGGGCGAGAAGCATGGAGCGTGCACTGCCAYAAAATCAATACAGACATAAAGAGCAAGGAGACAGAGATAAAGAGAGTGATAGATGCGAGGAAAGTTTAAAATAAAGTTGGAGTGAAAGGACAAATGAAGAAAAAGGAGAAAATGCAAAAAAGGGGAAAGTGAGATGGATGCACAAGAGATGGGATGGTGAAAAGAAGAAGAACAGCAGGAATTCTCTCTGCAGGACAGAAAAAGTCACAGGATGAGTTTGAGGCTGATGGTCGGTTTCAGGTATAAAAAAGGCACCTGATTGACTGCACTGATATCAAACACTGAGGGGGTTCTTGCATATAAATCTGCAGTTTTACACACTGTGTGCACCTGGACTGCTGATAACTGCATCTTTAAAAGACTTCTGAGAGTATTGAGATTTTAGATCTGGAACATCGCAGTTCTGTGCAATTGCTTTTTAGAAAAAGTGGGGTTAGACTTTGCACAGATARCCACACTGAATCCTGGAACAAAGCTTGGCTGAGCCTATTATTCCCATATGTAATTGTTAAACATGGCATTCCAAAAGAAAATAGTGTCATCAGAAAACCTAGTATTGCTGCATATATGCCTGAATTCATTCTATTGAATCTTTATCTTTCTTTAAGAATAACTAAAAGTATTTATATGATTATCATGCAAAATGCATTTTTATTTTGTATAAACATGGATGAATAAGCTTTATAATGTTCAATAAATCAGGAAACTATCTTAAATTGAAACTGAGCCTGCCAAATAATTTGGTCATTTTCATTCTCCTCATGTATGGYTGGATGGACAAGTCTTCCAATGTTGACATCTTTTAATTATTAAAAAAAAGTTTCTGCACCACTATATAGTCATAAACCCCTCTACTGAACTGCAATGGACTACTCTGGAAGCTGGGGGGGAGACTCCCCAAGCATGATGCGTCTCCTTTACATAAAACAAAATGGCCATACCACCCTGAACACACCAAATCTTGTCTGATCTTGGAAGACATGCAGGGTCTACTTGGATGGGAGACTGTCTGGGAATACTATGTGCTGTAAAACCAATGTAGGAGTTGCGCACACATTGAAATACTAGCAATAGAAAACCATTGACCGTGGGTCACCTTCTACCGAAGGATGAGAAAAAATAAAACATTTTGAAAAGTCACAAGTTAAAGTGAATCTGGTGTCATTACTTTCATATTATTTGAACACTTCAGAGTTTCTCCTAACACACACACACAAAAAACACAGTCACATAAGTCATGCATGATCCTGCCTCCGCCCATCAAACCAGCCATTTTATTTCTCCAGGCTCACATCCATCCATCATCGTCCACTCATCCATTCTGCTCNAACATGTTACAAGTCATTTCTCAGGAAGGTTTTTTCTTCTTTTTAAATCAAGATTTAAGAACCTGACTGATGGAAACTGCTCCCCGCTCACCAGGGAAGTATTAGTGAGAACAGGTGATAAAGCCTGGCTCACTGTTTGTGCTCTAACTCACCTAACTGAACAGTGTGAGCTCAGGGCTTTTAAAGGCAAATCAAAGGCTTCATAAACAAACTCTGCTAAACAATTCTACAAAGAACAGTGCTTGGTCAATGATAGAATTGACCTGAAAAGACCACTTTTTCCATCTATGTAAACTTTGAGACTAATCCCAAAACGAGAAACGTGGCTTCACACAAAGACAACTCAAATGACTTATAGAAGCGTAAGAGTTTATGCTTTAATTATCTTWGTCTCATTTTTGCCTCACATTTGTGGTTGTTGATGAGTTTCAATTTTCTGTCATTAAATTTGAATTATCTTTACTACTCATTCGCATTTTTATGTCATTACTTCCAACAATCAAAAATAAAGAACTTAAAATGATGTAATTTGGATTTTGTTAGTATACAAACTAATAATTTATAGTCACATTTTCCAAGAATCCAGTGTTAAAGTATTGTTATTCAGTATTTACACTAAGCAACAAAATCCTCAYGTCTGTTCATTTCCTTTATAGGTGAGTAAATCTCCCTTAAGGCCTGTAATGGTGTCAATTCTTCCTGTTGTTATTTCTTATTTATTACCCTTCAGAACAGCATTTTAAGTCTAACTGCCACCCCATCTGGCACAGAGGAAGAACAAGCTCCTGTATGATGATTGCAAGTCTCAGTCTAGTCCCCCCCAGCCTGTGCCAATTAACAGCTGCTTTATTTTCACTTTTCTCCGGCTGCCCAGTAAGGTGATCTTGTGTCATTAACAAGACTTCTGCTCAGAATAATGGAGGCTGAATTTGATTACAGCTTTTTAAAAGGTTTTCATTTTCTTTCAGTTTGAATAACCACAAGGCTAAACACTGACAAGTTGTTGGGTTCAATGACAGGTAATGAAGCCGAGTTAATCTGTATAATGCCTATTTCCAAAAAAGGGGGGTCTAATTAGTTCTGCCAACAAGCGATAACACTAACTCATCAATACTGTTTCACAAAGAGAAAATGGGTCCATTTCCTTTTTTTAAAGGATATGGCAGATGGCAAAATGATACTTAATATTTTTCTGTTTCACACACACAAAAATAAAAAATCAAAAATAAATAAAAAAACAAAAATGAAAACAAGCCAGCTAATTTGTAAAATTGGTTACTCTGACAATTTGCTTGTTTGAAAAACCACCATCCTGTCACAGGTTCACTGCTCTGCAATTTCTGCTGACCTGAATTTTACTTCCACTGTACTGGCTGTATTTTTTTTCTCTGATGGAATAGTAATATTTTGCAGCCTTCAGGTTTCCTGGAATAATTATGCGGAATTAACTGGAAACCATTTTTCTTTTTTTYATGCAGGTGAGGGATTTAGGAGCAGCCCAACATCCTCTGTTAAAGACTTAAAGAGCTCACTTATTTAAATTCAGACCCACCTCGGCACTATATGTACACGTTAAAATAAAGTAGAACTTGTCAACAAAAAAATGTAAAAAGCCCCAAAAAGTAAAGAAATGAGAGCAATCAGGTGAGAAGACAGTTAAAAATACACAATTAGGAAAGGGCTGACAGAGGTAAAYAGACATGACATGGCGTGGAGCATTTCACAGCGTGGTGACAGAGTTGGAAAAGAGCAGAACATTGCCAAAGATTGTGAGCGACAGCAGGGGGAAAGATGAAGAMGCAAAACGGAAGCGAGAGGACGAACAGTGCGAGATGAGGGGTGGAAATTGGCTGCAGGACGCAGCATGCATATGTCCACAAGAGAAGAGATGAGCTTTTATACTCAAATCCAGCAGCATTAGGCAGCTTGTCTTTCAGCGGACGCTGGCGTGACACTAAACCACACTCTGCAGGAAGCATCCATTCTAATCATATCCCCTCTCAGCCAGCATGCTCAAAAACAATCCTCACCCCACCAAAAAAAAAAATTAAAATTCAAGGGCATGAGTTCTCACACAATTACACAAGATCCAGAGTGTTGCTGGTGTAACAAGATGTCAAAACCAGGAACAATATATGATACAGACTACAGAAATTTTATTTATTTTTTCTGTCATAMCATCATTAAAACACTGCAACATGAACCTACTGCAAGGATTTGTCTTCGTCTCATGCCCTGGGCAAAGGAGAATGCATCATCTCTGAGCTATCATTACCAAGCTCATGATTTCTACATCCAGTGCTCCAGTCCAAACGCATTCCAACAAACACATCGTAACCACCGCTTTGCTCCTTTTCTCCCAGAACAAAACGGTCCAATTAAAAAAACAACAACATTTAAACCATCCATAAAGCAACCTAATTAACAGGCTACAGTCAACCCCCCTCGAGTGCATGCATAGCACAATCTAGGGTTTGCTGCAGAAAAAAATATATTCAGACTTCAGACCATCACAAAAKAATTTAGAATCAAATAGATGAAGAATCAGTTGCAACATGTGAGCGGATGAAATATTTATAGGACATAKAATTGGGTATTTGAGCTTTATTAAACTGGGATCAGATCTGGAGGTCTAGAACAGAAAAGTAGCTGTTAAATGGAACCTATTCATCTGTGTTTGGAACACAGATTACCACTGTAAATTAAAGATTTASGTTTCCTTACAGTGTTCTGGTCTGTTTAAAGCTAAGCCCATGTTTAAAATATAGTCTGGTGCATTTGGCTGAAAACGGAATAAATATTTTTGGGCAAAAAGATATGTTTCAGCTGATTTAATAAGAAGGCAGCATAAAACCTGCCTAAAATATCCTTACTCGGGTGATGCAGTGCGTTTCTCTATTAAAAAAATAATTCTGGTTCTGCTACTTGGACTTTCAACCTGTTCAAGTTTTCTATGCAAAGAGAAAAATTGAACATATTGCAAAAGTAACAAAAACAGTTCTTTTTACAGAAATTTTATGAACACAAAAACACGTTCAATAGATTTCTTCYCATTGTCCCAAAAAGTAGTAATTTGTCTGACTACTGATTTACCCTATTGACATAATTTTCTTCTRTACGTTTTTCAGSACATACAGTATCTTGTTCCACAAGTTTTGTGCTATTTCAACAATTGTATATCAAGATAATATGAATATCAAGCTCCTTCAGGATATTCTGGCTTTGACTTTTGGTACTTCAGCAATTTATACCTTTTGAGATAGTCAACTTTTCCAGATCTTTTTCTGTTCTCATTGAAAATGAATGGAGCTGTCTGCAACATCCTTAAAACCCTTTCAAATGTTCATAAATCCTTATTAAACTTTACATTTTTTAGTGTTTATTTCTGTGTGAAAATTCAGATTCCATTGGCTTTTATTTTGTTGATTTGAGCTTTTTTCTACTTTTTTGTTATCATTCACTTTTCTGCTGTTCTGCTGATTTCAACTTTTTTGTGCTCCTTTGTTAATTTAAACTTTTWATGCTTCTTTAGCYGTTTTCTGCTACTTTCAGTTCCYATGTTTTTAGCCAAGTTCAGCTAATTTTACATTGAAGCTAAATACACCTCGTCATAATTTTAGCTTATTGCTGATTAGTTCACCAAACATGTGCCCTTTGTTTCTTTGTGCTTATTTCAGCTCATTTTAAACAATTTTTAGGCTCGTTTCAGCTTTTCTAGCTATTATAAAATAAATTGCAGGTACTTCTTTCTTGTTTTTTGCTTATTTGAACTTCTGCTCCTCTGTCTGTTAATTACCTCCGCCAAGGAGGTTGTGTTTTCGGTCACGTATGTCTGTCTGAGTGTGGACAAAATTATTCAACAACTTATGGACGGATTTTCATGAAATTTTTTACCACAGGTGGGTATTGGCCAAAGGAACACTCCATAAAACTTTGGTGGTGATCCGGATCACAATCCGGATGCAGGGATTTTTTTGAAGGATTCTTCTTTATTGCAGGATATGAGAAATTGGCCTTGGCGGAGGATTGCGCTCTCCAAGGCTACGTTAACACTGCAGGTCTTAATGCTCAGTTCCGATTTTTTGAAAAAATCCGATCTTTTTGTGTGAACRTTCAMATTACATTTTAARTGTGACCTGCATCAGACCCCTGTGTGAACGCAACACAGCACTGATGTAATGCGCATGCGCAGTAAAAGACGTGACGTCTCCTCAGCCGGCTTGTTTGTTTACAGAGCTAGCATGGATGCTACATTTTGCACGTCGAATCTGAAGTTATTGTTTAATCAGAGCCGATTAAATAATTATCTGACATGCTTCTTCAGTTCAGTGTTTAAATCTGAAGCTGCCTCTGACCGGGATGCTCCAGTGAAGCTTTTTTTTTTAACGTAACTACGAGCTGGAAAAAAGTATCGACCGAGTAGCTAACTTTAGGATCGATACTCTCCGCGACCCAGGCTGGACATGTTATTATCAAACTATCTACGTGGAAAATGAAAAGTAAAAAGATGAAGCAACTGGACTTGTGTTTTGGAGCTGTAAACACATGGAGCTACAGATTTAAACAGCGAGACTTGAGGTTAGTGTCTTATCGGTCCTTCACCCCCTCCTCACTGATGAAAAAGTCAGATGAATGTGACATGAGCGTTCACACTGCAGTCACTTTGAAAACATCAGATATATATCAGATTTAAAACCACATACTGAAACGGCCTGGGTCGGATTTGAAAAAAAAAATCGGATTTGTCTCGTTCAGACTGTCATAAAAAAATCTGATATGAGTCAGATGGGTCAAAAAAAAAATCGGATTTGGGTCGGATTTGCCTGCAGTGTGAACATAGTCCAAGTGTTACTAGTTATAACTTGTTTCACGYACATTTAGCTTCTTTTTACCATTTTTAGATATCATTTTGCCCTTTTTACATTTTCTTTACCCTGTTTTGACTATCTTTCCAMTGATTTTTCTCTTTTGTTTTCCTACTGTCTGCTCAAATGAGCTGTTCAAATTCAGCTCCCAATAACTGTTTTGCTATTAAATCTTTTCAGTTCGATTTCAGCAGATCTCAGAACAAAAAAAAAAATCAGCATTAAGCATTCACACTAGATTTTTGCAGGAAATGCAAATCCTCTTGTTTTTGACGTATAGAAAAGATGATGCTTTCTCCATGTAAAATAAAAATACAAACATAAATTTGAGGGTGGGTTTTCACATGAGCCCACTCGCTCTGCACCACTTTGTAAAGAACCTGACAGTAAAAGCCATCCTTGTTAAAGTGAAAGAGGCAATATAATGTCTGAAAGGGTCAGAGGTCTGTGCTTACCCCACACTTGCTGAGAGCGATGTACCACCACCTCTCCCTCACCGAGCGAAAACTGCGACCACCCACGCAGCTCAGAACCTCCTCACTGCCATCATCCTCCACCTCGGAAAAATAAAAAAGAAAGAGGAGGGGGGATTCACAGAGGATGTTGTTATTCTAAACAGGCAGCACATTTTTACCTCAGAGACACTGACTTGTCACACTAGACTACGAGCCGGAGATATCAAGACACACGCATTTTTCACACCCTAATATAGTCTGAAATGTCACAAACAAGATCCACTAACCACTTCAACAACAGAACCAGGCTGGCCGTCACACCTCTTAATGTAATAAACAAGCTGGCTCACTTGTTGGAAAAGAGAATTAAACCATAGAAAAACTGGGAGGAGAGATATTTTGAGTTCAACAGCGGATAAAAAAAGTGTAAATTAGAATGTTATGAAAACACATTATGGGCCATTAGTTCTCACTTTCCCTCCCAGCTTCATCCCTGTCTATCGTTCGTTTGAATATTTCTGTGCTGTTTTGCACTCCAAAGGCAGATGCGTGCACRGAAAGGTGAAAATATGTTCAAATATCTGATGATAAAAATCGCAGTAACACACAAATATGCTCCACATCACAGCAGAGCAGGGTCAGAGTTCAAACAAATTCACAAAACAGCAAGATTATAAACAGATGTTTGTTTTGCCTATTAGGTCCAGGATGCTGCTCAGTTCAGCGGTGCGTACGAAGCGAATACGTTTGTGTTCTTACCACACATCCTGACCAGGTGTAGCGAGTGGTGAGATTGATGACCTGGTTGTTTTCAGGCCTCAGCACTGCTTCCTTCTGGTAACAGTTCTGCCAACAACAACAACAACAACAACAACAACAATAAACACACAAAAAAAAAACATTCAAAACAGCTTAAAAGCATTAAAAAACAGCATTAAAAATAAATGTAGATATATGTAGAGAGCAGGTAGTAGCTGCTGCATGACAATATTTTGGAAAACATTTAGACATTTATTTAGTTGGCATTTCTTTAATGAAAAACATATTCACTGCAGTTTATATTCACTGCAGTTTAATACACAATCGATCTTAAAGTTAAACAAATGCTGACTCAAATTCACCATTTTTTGCCTAGTTGTCATTATTGGATAAAAACATCAGCAGTGATATCTATTCCTCATTTCTTCTGCAGAAAAAAGCTATCTGCATCAACAAGGTAAAGATTTGTAAMAAATCTGTACTGAGTTGGGATTTATTACTAAACTGAAGGCTTTTTTTGTGTTTAAGAAACCAAACCCTTAAAATAAAAGAAAATTTTGTTTTAAACATCACTATCGCTTGTCTCTGATCCACTCCAGCAATTGGAGTAAAAATGCACTCTTCTGTCCTTTCTTTTGCCATGGATTTCTYCATGGGCGAGCTGTTAATATTAGAGCAAAATGTCAAGCAGAGAAAGGAGACCAGAATGTCTGAATCTGGCAATCTGAGAACCTCTCAGAGAGCCGAGAAGTGATGTGACGCTTGTAAGCGCACTAGAAATATCTCAGCACAGTGTCACATCTGTGCGTCAGAAGATGTCAGGCAGAAGATTACGCCACTAACCAAATAACTTCAGCACATGAGCCATGAAATGAAAGAAATCTGAGTTCATGTGTGTTTTTTTAAATGTTTAGTCATCTGAGCAGAAATTTTCTAAACATCTATAAACCCCGCTTTTATAACACAAAGATACGATTAGAATGGTAACGTGCAGAATATAAATTGCTTTTTTCATACATTATGGATTAGCTGCAAAATCAATTTAATGTTGGTTATAAAAAGGTTAGATCRTGTTGCATCTCATCGCACCAGCTGACGAGCTACAGGGCGGATATTAAGAATTCATGCATGCTGGTTGGACAGCTGYGGGCCTGACCAGTTTACATGAATCCACTCTGTCTGAAGGCAAAGATTTTAACCTTAGATCTCAATCTATGCACACAAACAGATGCTAAACGGACTCTGCATAAACAGGAGGCAGAAGAGTGGATGCTACAAATTAAGGAATGCACACAGCAAGTGATTTTATTCCCATTATAGTTTTTGAATTTGGCATTGTACTTTTGCAAAACAGCTATGAAACTCAACTAATGACTCTCAGCTTCAAGGTTGTTTTAAAGTATTCTGAGTCATTTCAGGTGAGGAGTGCAAGGATTGTACTTTCATATAGAGTTTTGGACGGAAATAAATAGTTTCATTTACCAAACTTCTTTACTTTATTATTTTAGGAATTTATTTTTTTGTGTAATAAAAGAAACAAACGAGTGAGCTTGATCGGTTTCTGCTCTTCAGAGAGAAGCAAGTTCAAAGGTTTTGAGCATCGGGTCAGAATGCCTTCCAGACACAGGAGGAGGCCCGAGGGTAGACCCAGTCACGCTGGAGACAAGATCTCATGCTGATTTGGAAACACTTCAGAGTCCCAGATGAGCCGGAGGACCGTGGCTGTGATGAGAAAGGTCTGCTCAGCCTTTCCCCAATGACCACATCCCAGATAAGTAGCAGAAAATGGAAGAGCAGCCGGGTTATCCAATTACTGAGTATCCACTKTACTTCTGTAAAAGCTTGTTTAAAATTTAAGGTGCTGCAACAGAAGTTCAAACTGTAAATCTCTAAATCTAGATTTTATTGTTTTGTATCTGTGGAAAAAAGTTTAATGTATTTGCTCCCATTGACTTCTGTCCACCCCTGATCTATGATCTTTATWCAGTGAAAAACTGTATTTTTTTATGTTAGCTAGAAAACAGCAACTAGGGCTTTATCTGAACACGATGAGAAGTTTACAGTCTTAAAGTTAAATTGTGAAAGAGTTTTAATAAACTTCTACCATAATGTCTGACTAAGCAGTAATTCTATTATTCTAGCTTGTCAAACATGACGCAGCGAGTGTCAGAATCCCACCTTTTCAGTCTTCTTGTACACAGCCGGCCACTGAGAGCTGTCATCAAAGTAGAGCAATATGTTCTGACAGCAGCGAGACTGCGCAGAGACAGGACACAAAAAGAGATGCATTGATAAGAAGGGAGTGAGTTGGACAAGTTGAGTTTTATGGCATTAAACTGGTTCCACAGTCTGCTCCGAGGCATAAAACAAGGCATGGGGCAAAAAGAAAAAGCATTAAAAAAAAGACATGGAGGGAATTAACAAAATAAATAAAAACAAGGCAGAAGTATGCAGGATGCTGTTAGAACAGATAAAACATTCAGATTTTTTTTTCCAGGTTTTACAAAACTGACACTTTTTCAAATCTTGTAACCTAAAAACAAAAAAACTTTAAAATCAGTCACCCTACCTTTGGATAACGGAATCGAAAATCCAGTCGCCCAAACTCTGTGAGAAAGCAGAAGCGCGTGAGGAAAACCCAGTCCTGCAGAAACACAAAGTCAAATGAAATTGATTAAAAGAAATGTAAGAATCTTTTGGGGAAAACAACAAAAAGATGCATTTTAAAGCTTATAACTGACAAAAGAAACATGCAGCCAAATTATAGTCATATTCTTAAACCTAAATAAGATTCTGATCAACAGCTTATCTTATTAAATAACCTGCTGCTTTCTGAAACTTTTCATAACTGCTACTTGCTTACAGTGTTTTAATCCAACTGGATGTTCGGGATACAGTTTCTCTCAATTATTCCAAAAGCAGCCTGAGGTGTTTATTTTGTTTGTGAAATTTGCCTGCTTAAAAAAAAACAAACCTGAAGAAATAACTTATGTCTGAAGACAGAAAATTTGATCAAAGTCATAGTAAAATCCAGTAAGTGTAAACTGACCMTCTTATAATCATGTCAGGGATGAAAAACAAGCTGCTCATCATGTATGTGCCACATTTAATCACAATCAATTTAAAAAGTGTTAAAAACTGCTGAAAATTGCAGAGATACAAAAAGAGGTTGCAGTAGGAGATGTAACAAGAGTTTCAGAGAAGAAAGACATAAATAATGCAGACATTTTGGGGGCAATAAAAAGATGGAGACTCAAAATGGGGGGTCTATAACAGCAGGGAGGATTTTGGGGAATGTTACAGGAAATGCAGAACACAGWTTTATAACAGGAGTTGGTAGAAGAGGAAAATAAATGAAAGGAGGTAAGTAGAGGCAGGAGGTTAAACTTGTAGAGAGGGTAAACAAAAATAAGCCATTAAGAGGCTGCTGGGCATATTAATAAGAAAGAAGGAAAAGCCTTGTTGTTCTTTAACATTATTCAGCCATCAKCTTGGCAGCATGAGACCAGATAGTGCTGATGGTGTACTTCACTGAGATTACATAAGGCACTGCAGCAGAGTTGGCATGGCGGATCAGTCACCGGTGGTCTCGATTCCACACAGATACGTCCTGCTGATATGGATCATATGTGCTGAACACAGCGCTGACACTTCATCACACTATGCACTGCTCTGTCTGAAYGACTGTCCATGAAAATAAAACCAACAAAGGCAGAATTTATTGTAGGATCCAAAACAAAAACTTTGTATCTCTGAGAAAAACTAATTTCCCACAAAAAATAAACTAAATGTATTATTTTTTTAAATGACAAAATAATCCCACTTAGGGACGCGCAGATATGAAAATTTCAACAGATATCGATATCCGAAATAATTATTGCTATTATGGCCGATAACTGATATTGCACAAACTCACAAATTATATTATACATATAAGCACAAACACACTTGGGTCTTTTTTTTTTTATACCATAAACAAACAACCAGACTTCTGACGTGGCTCCCTACTTCAGTTATTTCTGGTTATGCAACATCAATATCACTATCATGATCAAACAGATGTTGTTCAATCAACCATCTCCCCTCCCAAAACAGAAACACAAAGCTCAAAAGTGGGAAATCAATATCGGACAGTAATATCTGCCCAGTTTTACATATCGGAACGATACAGATATTCTAAAATAAAAAAAAACGACCAATATCGGCCGATACTGATATTAGTGCTGATATATCGTGCATCCCTAATCCCACTTACAATATCTTGAGCTTGTTGCCATAAACAGCCACACATTTTGAATTAGATTATTGTAAATAAATGTTTTGATTTAATAATTGCTCACTGCGTCACTGTTGGTTATTTATGCCTTCAGTGCATTTATAAGAAAACACTTCACAAATGTTTTACAAACTCTTTTTTGTGTGTTACTGAAGGATCTCAAAAGGTGCAGGTTTTTCGCTTCCACTTGTCTTGTTTCATTTTTAGAAGAATTTATATCACCCAGACGACTGAGCAAAAACTTTTTACGAGCCAGTAACAGTGTGTTCTCACTTTAATCATTTCCTCTCATAGCTGAAAGTGGACTTCTACAAAAAAAAAAAACATTACTTGAAAATATTGCACAAAGTTTGCAGCAACATCTCATACAAGTATATTATTTTGTTTGTCTTAGAACAAAAACACTGAAAAAAATGCGGTAGATTGTTTTATTTACTATACCTTGCAGTCAGCCTCACTTCTTAACATTTTGCCTCAGGGTGATATCAGGAAAATGTGTGATAACAGGGGTTGTGATGATGCTATGATTGGCAATAAATGAACAAATACTTAATACTTAATAATACTTTTGTTTATAATAGACATCATTTCATTGGAGAAATTAAAAAACTGAAAAGTGGGCAGACATATGAGAATAAATATTACATCACAGATGTAGTCCCCATACAATATGCCACCCACTCAAAGATGTTTCAAATGAATAAAAATAAAACTTATTTTCCTAGTAGAGTGGAGATGATAAATATAGCACAACTTAAGGAAAGAAACTGCTTTGTGGTCTGATTATATGGCGGTGGACGTGTCTTGATACATTGCCACATGACAGCAGGGTGAGCAGACTGTGGTTGGGCAGGATACATTGATTTAGTATTCATTGAGCTTTGAGCAGACACCTACCCTCCGTAATCTAACTGATTATATGCAAATCTGTGAAGTTGGATCCTAGGGAACTGCAGCCTTGTCTGGCCACATTTATGCCATTTTTACTGATTGATCAGTAAAAAGAGAGAAGCACAGAAAAATAATTGGAACTAAGAAGCAGTATGTAGTATGCATTTATTGTGATAAACAGCATTTGTGTAAACAGAGTCCTTCCTACAGAGAGATGGTGCTAACATGCTGGATAAATATGGATAGAAAACCTGTTGCATTTCACAGTTTGTGTGTGCGTGTGCACGYGTGGGGTTGGGGTGCAGTAGATCTATAGATGACCTTATTTATTAACCTAAAGTGCATTGAAGGACTTGGTATACTGAGGAGAAAACRTATTTTTATCAGCTTTCAGCASTAAAGAAAAAAAATCTGATTTCTGATGAACCATGTCTATTTTTAAAGCATTGAAGCTTAAGGAGCACTTGTGAAAACAGACAACCCCCCTAAGCACAACCAATTTTAAATATTCCAGACTGTGCAAGCCTCAAGTTAATCCTTACTTCTTAATATTTTGCTTCCAAGAACTCGGACTTTTAAATACGCTTTTAGGCGGCCATGAGTCATAATTCTTCAAGCTTTCTGAAGGTCTTTTAAAGGTTTCTTTTGGGCTTTGGATGCTTTTCAAACACACTTTTGGTCTAGACCATTTTTAAGAAGAATGGGCTGCATGCAAAAACATGTACGTATTCTTATCCTAAATTTCTCTAACCTTCGTTCGTACAAAGGGTTCGTACAAACATGTCACGTCAGATTCAACAAACTATCTTCAGGAAAACTGTGTAAATGAGCTGCATAAACAGATGAATGCGTATCCAGGTGCTCGTGCACGGGGAGAGGTGATTTACATAATTAGCACCCCAAAAACATCATATAAGTCTACGTTTCCTGCCACACATACCAGGATGTGTCCATTCATAAATGACATTGCAAAGTAAAAAAGAAGAACTTTACGAGTTCGGAGATTGAAGTTCTGCTCTCGGAGATCCACAAAAAAAAAAAACAACAACAACAATAATAATAATAAAAAGAGTCATTTTTAGCAGTGTCAGCTGTGGAATGAAAGGATTTGCTTCAATGCCAAGGAATGAAATGTTGACTGCTGTTAATGGTGTGTCTCCTGTCACAGAAATAAAAATTTAAATCATATTTAACTCTCTCTGTAGTCCTGCTCTGTTTTTTCTTTGGTCAAATATTTTTAAATTCAGTGTAAACAACTGTTACATAGGTTTAATTTATTCAGAAGAGCAGTCGTGCACAGCAACCCCCGACGGTCAAGTGTCGGATGAGTTTCTGAAAAAAAAGGCATTTTAAAATGTCTCAAAACTTCCATTAACTTCATATTAATATTGTAGTGTTATACAACAAAATTAATAGCCAATTTATTTTAATTTAACCAATGTTAAGTCTACATTATTACTTTTAAAATTATAATTCTAATTCAAACAGAATAGTCTCTTGTCAACATAATTAAAGAGTGTGATTTATTTTCAACTCGAAATATCTTCAAACCAATGAAATATAAAGTTATTAATGAAGAAAACCCATCTGGATAACAGCAGACTGACTGCTCGTAAAAGACACGACAGGTCTGGACCACTTGTGAATTTTGTTCGTATCTGAAGAAAAAGAATACGAAAACATTGGTGAGTGCCACAAATTCTCCTAAATCATTCGGTACGCAGAACTTAAGAACAAATCTGTTCGTACGAAAGGTTCTTGCATGAGGCCCATTATTTTTAYGAGTGTTGACCTGCTGTAACTGTCCTGTGAATCACTCAAGTATAAAAAGTATGCTAAAATATATGGTTGAACCAGTGTGTGCCGACTAGTTACCAAAAAATAAATTTTAAATTTGTAAGCAACCTATCACAATTTCTTCCCATTTCTTCAGTTTAATTTATTTTAAACCAAAACAGCACTTTGACAGACATGAAGAAGTATGTTACCATCATCAAGATGACTTTTCCAGAACTATTAGCTGAAAACTTGAGGAAAGGTATGATCTGCTGAAGGATGAACACCCCAGGTTCTGTGTCAGGTCTTTGCTGTATTCTTTTCCTACTAAAACTCCAAACGGCTGTAGATGTTTTAGGCCTGTATTTTATTCYATTATCCTTCAATGGTCAACAATACCAAATATGGTCAGTTTAAAAAACAAAAAAAATGGTCAAAATAAATGAAAGCAGTCACAATGGAAAAAAAGGAAAGAAAACCTCAAAAGGCTTTCAAAAAGCTTGCTAAACTACTGATCAAAACAACTTTAAAATAAAATAAAACAAGGTAATCAGGCTCCTTGAAAGTTGAGGATGAAAAAGTTGGTGGTGGTTTAATACATTTCAAAAGTGTTGTTTGTACATGTGGATTTTTCTTCTTTTTTTGACAGAATGCATGACAGTTGTGAACAGAAGACATTTAGCTCTTCACGAAGGATGGAA